TACATAGATACATACATACATACTTAGTATGTATACATATATGTACATTCATACGTATGCACGTCCACACAGCCATCCATCCATCCATCCATCCATCCATCCATCCATCCATCCATCCATCCATCCATCCATCCATCCATCCAAACACACATACACACAAAACAGAAACACAAGCACATACATAACGTACATAAACGTATACACACACATGCAAACATACAAATGCATATACACATGCCAAACTCACATGCAATATTCTATAACTAATGCATACGCATCTGGGGCATTGGGGTAACTGATAACCGCATCTCAAAGGGGCGGTATCCTGGGTCTAGAGGGCATGGACAATTCGGAGGGACTGACATAGGGGGTCTACAGGTATCTATAGAGACAAAAGGAAATACAGTATACTATACCGGACTACGTAGCATCACCTTTGTAGTTGCCTTCTATACCTGCTACTGATATTGCTCCTGCAAACGCATGACACATTAGCTGGGGGACAGTTTAAGGAGGAGCGTAGGGTTCAAGGCCAACGGGCCTAGAAGTTGCAGGTAAGAGAATTAGGATTTAGGGGTGTAGAGGTTGGAGTTGAGTTGACGGTATAGGGGGGGGGCTTTGGGAGCAAAGTCTGTGTTCCGTTTGGAGGTACGGAGTATTGGCTCCAGGACTCCAGCACAACTCGTATCTTGTTCGCAACGCCCGAAGGTTAACCTGCAACTAGGATCCTGTCTACATTACAAAAATAACCAGTTCATCGTTTGCTACCAGTCGACTACGCCCTAGGCCAGGGCATAAGGGGGTTCCAGCAAAGGCTCCATTCTCCAGCACCAGGGCCACGCGATCGTCACGGCGGAAGAAGGACGCGAAGCTTTGATCCTGTCACCCACCAGCCCTGCGATCTCCAAAGAAATACCCGAATGAACGGAAGAGCTGAATAGGGTTTGGGGCTTCTTTATAGTGTTTTGATCATAAGGAAACCTAAGAATAAAATAGCGGTAATTGTTTAGGCTTCCATACTATTTGGGAACACCTCGGCTTTTGGCAAGCGGGACCCCTCAACAACCAGCCTTTGCGGGATTCATACGGTTTTTTGACACTTAAACCGGAAATGTCCAGGCAAGGTCTGCAGACGACACACAGGGTTTAGAGATTAGGATCTGCTACTCTATCTGGGACCTGACCTGCTTCTCCTTGTCCTTGGTGGCTTGAGCATATAGTCTATAGTCTATGGCGGAAGAACAAAGTTTGAAGACTATGATCTTGAGTCCGATTGATGGCCCTGAGGTCACGTCTGGGAACCCCAAAATCCCATGTGCCCACAGCTCCTCAACTCTGAACCCCAACCCGGCTCCCCTAAACCCTCTAAATCCCCAAGGTCCTTAACTCTAAACACCTAACCCCAAAGTCCTAAACCCTAGAAAGCCCAAGATACTAAACCCTATACCAAAGTCCTAAATCATCCTAAACCTTACTTGGAGGTTCATGGGTAGTTATACGTAGGGTTATACATACATTCAGGGCACACTATCATGAAGCTGGCTTGGTGTCGGGAATCTGGGCCTGCAAACTGGGCCGAAAACCTCAACAAAAAGCTGCTTAACGGTCAACGTTGGTTGCGCCCGGCTCCCCCTAAATGATTGCACACACCGGCTGGACGCACACCTGGACTACAATGCTAAAGAGCAGTGAAAATGGTTGTCACGGGGCCTCCCCTCACCCTAATTAGCATTGTAAAACCCAAACGGGGTGTCGGGTCCCACGTAGAGAAGGGCTGGGACCCAC